TTGGGACCAGTTTAGTTTGGGAAACCTGGTTGTCATAGACCAGTTGGACTAAAGGGTCTGTTTTCCGTGCTGTATGACTCTATGATTGATTGACTGTTAGACAGAAAACAATTGAGAAAGCACTACCCTACTCAGGTATCCATTTCTTTTTGGAAAAAAAAATGTTGAAAGGCCAGAGAAGATGCGAAAGAAGTTATTAAGACAACATGAGAAATGAGAGGTTATAACTGTTGGGGAAGTCTGAACAGGCCAGACTCTTCTTTTCTATGGAGAAGAGAAAACTGTGATCTTGGAGGAGACGGCTCAGGGGACGGTAGTTTATGGTGTTGTTACTGGGCTTGTAATTTGCAAGCTAGTATACAGGTGACAAGAGTTCAAATCTCACCATAGCTACCTGGAGAATTTAAATTCAGTTAATTAATGAAATCTGCAATAAAATGCGAGTCTCATTAGTAATAAACTAATAAATGCCGAAACAACTAAATTGTTGTGCAAGTTCATCTGATTCTTTAATGTCCTTCAAGGGAGGAAGTCTGACATCTTTAACCAGTCTAACCAACATGGGACTCAGAATCCATGGCAATGTGATTAACTCTTACCTGTCCTCTGAAATAACAGCCACTCAGTTGTATCACTAAACGGCTATGGAAAAATCAAATCTGTGTGTGTGATTACACACCATGGACTGCAGTGATTCAAGAAAGCAGCTCGCTATCACTTTCTTAATGGTAATCGTGGATAGCGAATAAATGCCAGCCCAGCTCATCATGCTCACATTCTTTAAACAAATTGAAAAAAGGATGGTGATCGGCAGCAAGACAGCAGTGCAGAGGCGTGGGGATCGAGAGGTGGGACCCAGCAGGGGGAAGAGAGGTGGGGCCCAGCGCGGGGGGGAAGAGAGGTGGGGCCCAGCGCGGAGGGGAAGAGAGGTGGGGCCCAGCGCGGGGGGGAAGAGAGATGGGGCCCAGCGCGGGTGATCGAGTGAGCAGGCCCAGCAAGGAAGAGAGATTGGGCCTAGCATGGGGAAAGCCCAGCATGGAGTAATGACAGGCTCATGGCTAAAGGAGGACTGTAATTTGGAATTTCTAACTTTATTCCTTTTTTACAGCTTTATACTGAGAAGGACTGTAATGTTGAACCTTTAAATTCTTTCTTTATTTTTCTACTTTTTAACCTAAGATTTTGTATCTAGGTACCTTGTACTGAAGACATGAATGGCAAGATTGTGCACTTTTCACTGTACTTCTGTACCTGAGTACACGTGACAATAAACCCTAATTCTATTTTTACTGAATGACTAGAAAAGTATTTAAGGCAAAAAGAGACAAAAGGATATTCTGGTGGAGCTGGGTGAAACAGACTGAGCGAACACTCATGTGGAGCATAAATGTGGCCATAGGTCATTTGGACAGAATGGCTCGTTTCTGTGCTGTAAATTTTTTTTATTCCTTCATGGGATGAGGCCATCACTGGCCAGGCAGCATTTATTGCCCATCCCTAATTGCCCAGAGGGCAGTTCAGAGTCAGTCACCTTGCTGTGGGTCTGGAGTCCCATGTAGGCCAGACCAGGTAAGGATGCCAGTTTCCTTCCCTAAAGGATATTAGTGAACCAGATGAGTTTTTCCCGACAGTGAATAATGGATTCATGGTCATCATTAGACTCTTAATTCCAGTTTTTTTTTAAAGTTGAATTCAAATTCCACCATCTGCCACGGTAGGATTCAAACCAGGGTCTGCAGAACATTACCTGACCCTCGGCCTTGGACACTCAGTGTCAGTGCAGACCCAGTGTGACAGCCTCCCGGCCTAGCGTAGACTGGTTTGGAAGGACTGTTGTTCTCTTGAAGTTTATTAATTTCTCTATTTTCTAATTTATTCCTAAAATCTGCAACGCTGGACCTTTCCTTCCTTTATTTTCTCAATTTTTTTCCCCTGAGAACTTGCACTGAAGAAACTGTACCTAGGTAGGTGCCTTTGTACCTAAGATGATGCCATAAGTGGAGACTTGTAAACTTTTCACTGTACTCATCTGTGTACATGTGACAATAAAGCTGATTCAGTAGAACAATGGTTAAAGATCAATTGTTGTGAAATGTTTTGAAGTTTCTTTGAAACATCTCGAAGAGGTGAGGGAAGCTAAAAGCCTGTTGTTACATAAAATCTCACAAATCAGATTGTGGAATGACAGCCATCTAACCCCTAAGATTCTGAGGAGATCTGGCAGGGTGGGTGCTGAGAGGATGTTTCTTGTGGAGAATCGAGACTAGGGGTCACAGTTTTAAAAGGAGGTGACTGCAACACAAGATGGAAATGGAGAGGAATTTCTTCTCACAAGTGTTGTTAGAATTGGGAATTCTCTACCCAAAAGAGCAATGGAGGCTGGGTCATTGAGTATATTCAAAGCTGAAACAAATTGTTGAGAAGACTCAGTAGGTCTGACAGCATCTGTGGAGAGAGATACAAAGTTAATGTTACGAATCCAATGACCTTTCTTCAAAACTAGAAGTCCAGGATTATGTGGGACCAGCAGGAAAGTGGAGTTAAGGCCATTGTCATGATCTTATTGAAGGCAGCAGGCATTGTGAGCTGAATGGTCTGCTCCTGCTCTTACTTTTTTGATTTCTGCGCCAGTAGGTGGTGTGTTGTTCACCCATGGCACCCACATTGGCTGTGGATGAACTACCATTGATTCACAGCAAGATCCGTTGCAAGGCCGTGCTCAGCATTCGTTTGATGCAGCAGCAGCAGCAAAATTCTAGAGGCTCAACAACAGACAGAATGAAGCAAAATACTCAATGAGCTCAAAATAAGACCGTCCATTGATCTGAACATACAACCTCTTTGTCAGTGGTGCACACTGATGCCACAAAGTGTGTAACATCTACAGAATACACTTGAGCAGCTCAACTATGAGCATGTCTACATTGCCTCCAATCCTGTGATATGTACCATTGAGGATATCCTGAACAGACCATCTAATGTTTGGAGAAAGTGACACTTGTAAATGGCTTCCTGGCCTTTGGCTTGATTTGATTTCCCATCAAAGCAGCTGTTAGTCATGCACTATATCAATGAGCATTAACATCTTCAGTGTTGTCAAATATTTACTGAGCGATTCAAGTTGCAGTATCCACCAATTCTTTTCAGCTCTGCTGTGTTTCCAATTTACTATTGAGCAGGATTCTCAGACACCTGTAATCTGAGTGAAATGTTTTCATACAAAAGCTGGGAGATTATTTGAGTGTTCCTCATTTTTCCTGGTGTTCAACATTACATGAAGTTAAACAAAACTGGTCATGATTAAATAGTGAGCAGGCTTTTTAGAAATGATTGTTGTTTCACTAGAAGTTGCTTCGCCATGGTCAAGTCGAAGGGTCTTCTGTATTAGTGGGTAAAATCAAAATCTTAAATCTTATTGTGTTTAGATGAATAAGGGTCTAAAAGAGGATCAGGTGGAGCACAAACACTGGCTTTGACTTGTTGGGTCTGTTTCTCAGATAACATGTTAAATCAGGGAAGGAAACTGCCATCCTTACCTAGTCTGGCCTACATGTGACTCCAGACCCACAGCAATGTGGTTGACTCTTAACTGCCCTCTGGGCAATTAGGGATAGGCAATAAATGCTGCCTAGCTGGCGATGCCCTCGTCTCATGAATGAATAAAATAAAAAGTATCCAGGACCCATCTGCCTGCTTGGATGGATGTAAAAAAAGCCCGTGCAATACCCTGAAGAAGAGAAGGAGCCTGTAATCATTCCTCAATCAACACGGACAAAAACAGATGATCTGGTTAATATCACATTGCTGTTTCTGGGAACATGCTATGTGCATATTGGATGCTGCGTTTTCTCCATTCCATGAGTGACAATACTTCGATGGGTATTTTATTGGATGTAAAGTGCTTTGAGATGTCCAGTGGTTGTAAAATCACTGAATGTAGCAGAAATACAAATGTATAGTTGATAAGTTTATAGTTTCCCTTGCTGCTTTTGTAATAATAAGCTCACGACTACGCTGCGTGTTTGAAGCTTATGTTTTCTCTCTCTTTCTCTCTCTTCTCCCCCATCCCCTTTAAAATCTGTATCTGTTTCCTTTTGTTAGTTCTGGGTCTGTCTTTCTGTCTCTCCTTTTCAATTCTCGGTCTCTCTCTCTCTGTCTCTCTTTCTTTAAACTCCTGCTTTCTTGACAAACAGCAAACAAAACTCTGTGCAATGACTTGATACACATCATTACAGGATTGTGCATCGACACAAATATGTGCTGGGGCATTGCGAGGATACTAGACATGAAGATACTAAAAATAAAAACGTTAATCAAGGAAATATCAAATAAGGCCTACCTATAAATACAAGTCCTTTTTCTTTCTGTTAAATTGTATTTGGTCTCGAAAATGTTCTTTGATTTTCACATGCCATGTGAACCACATATTCAGACGACAGATGAAACAAATGTGGCGAAATTGAAGAGTCATGTTGTGTCTTACATGTAGATCAATGCTGTTTTATTTAATTATAAGACTCACCTCTCCAAAAATGCAAATGTTAGATTCTCCTTGGATACTTCGTAAGGTATGTGCTACTCAATATTCCAAAGCCTGTTGTCCACCTGCACAAGGCACAACTCATGCGTGTGCTGGAATGTCCTGTTATTTCAGCTCAAACTGCACTTACATAGTGTTTCCACTTAGTTGTTGAATTTTCTAGGCAAGAAAATACCCAAAGGGATCTAACTCTGGTTTTAATATTCATTCCTATGGGAACTTGTGTTTAATTTAATCTTATTTCACTTGAAGTAATGTTTCTTAGGGATGCAACCTCAACTTTAAGTGAGGTCAACCTGTAATGGATTTTACAACCACTAAACATCTCCAAGTGTTTCACATATATTGAAATACTGTTAGAATTGTAGTCATTCTTGGAATTGGGAAAATACAGCAGCCGATATATGCACAGCAAGCTCCCACAAATAGCAATGTGACAATAACCAGATAATCTCTTTTATTGGAATGTTCCCTACTTGTCTAGATAAAGTGCATCTCCAACAACATGTAGCTCCAACAACACTCGAGCTCAACACTCCAGGTCAAAGGAGCTGCTTGGGTTGGCACCTCATCTATCACCATCCACATTCAGTTCCCCCACTGCCCACAATGGCAGCAGTGTGCATCATCTATAAGAGGCACTGCAAGATCCAAGACTTTTTCACCCAAACCTGCAACCTCTGCTTCAAATGCCCAGCTTTGTAGAGAGCTAGTAGAACCTGGTAAGAGTTGGGAGCAATTGCTCTCATCCCCACCATGTCACATTTCAGCCTGAATTGGAAATACAAGCGCTGTTGTTTAACATTCTCTGCTTTAAATGCTGGGACTCCCTGCCAGACAGCATCATGGGAGCATCTTTGTTACACAGACAGCGGAAGTTCAAGAAACTTGACTTAATGATGACTGCAGATAGGCAGTGAATGCTGGTCTTGGTAACTATATAACCCCAGATTGACTTTTTTAAAATAGTACATGCCTGTCAGCTTTAAAAATAAACACTTTTACAAGTGTATGTCCTACTCCAAATGTCAGACTTTACATAAAATATTGCAGATCATAATCGGACAATCTTTGGGAAAATCTGTATATGAAAAGGGAAAGAAAAGTAGACATTTCCTGTTGATTTTATGGCTTTGAGTTAATTGGAATGTGTTTTGGATAACAACGAAAGCAACCAAACAAGTCCCAATCTAGAAAGACGTCTTCAATAATTATTGCCGAAGGTATTCCATCAGCCTTTGTACAAAACTACAGAAGAAAGGCCTGCATTTATGTGGTACTTTCACATCTTGCAACAGCCCATGAAATGTATTTTTGAATGCACTCTGTGCTATAGCGCAGGGAAACATGCTGCACAATTAGCACACAGCAAAGTTTCATACAATATAATTGTAACCAACTCAATTATTTTCAGTGATAGCTTGAGGTGTAAATATAAACTGTGGGGAGAACTCCATCTGCTCCCTTTCAGTGAGGACTATACCACCACAGAGATGACAAGAATGGCGGGCAAGATGGCTGGACATCTGTGATACGCCCCCACAACCCTGTGGTCCAATGGTATCCTGGCTGATAGCCGCCCCATTTTTCTAAAGGGCATCCTGTAAGTTTCTGGGAGCAAGGTACTGTTACATCTCTGATACCTGTTACGATCTTAATCTGCAATTAAAAAGAACAAAATTATCTTGTTTCAGAAACCGAACTTGCTGGAGAAACTCAGCAGGTTCGGCCGCTTCCCTGGAAAGAAAGCAGAGTTAATGTTTCGAGTCCAGTCTCCATCTGCTTTCTTCCTATGGATGCTGGCAGACCTACTGAGTTTCTCCAGCAATTTCTGTTTCTGTTTCAGATCCCCAGCATCCCGCAGTTCTTTGTTTTGTAACATTAGCCTGTTAACTGTTTTATAAATCATGTTACATGTTGACCCTTTTGTTATGTATGTAATTTCCAGCAATACATACAGCTGCCATGGATATGCTCGGAGGATCGGGTGTGAGCAGTCAGTGCAGGAAGCCTGAAATCATGGCTGATGCTGCCTATGCCATTTTCTCGAAGCCAAAGACATTTACTGGCAACTTTGTCATCGATGAAGAACTCCTTAAAGAGGAAGGAATCAGGGACTTTGATATCTATGCGGTTGATCCAGGTATGCATAAGGTTCTTGTGGTTTTTAACACATTCTGAGTAGATTGCTTGCAACATTGCCCGCAGGTAATTACCAAAACTAATTACTTTCTCAATACGGCTGTCACAAATACTGAGAATAGATTGAGCAGGTTTTAACATTGAGTGTGTTTCTGTAGGAGGGAGTAATTTTGAGAAGAACGATTTAGGTAACAGTAATAAGAATGTTCTGTCCTGATTTAGAGCTGAGGAGTTGGTTTGCTGCTGCTAACCCAGACACAATGAACTGAAATTATCACTGACCATGAGCCAACTTGAATTTTTCTGTTTTAATGGGATCACTCGAGTGTCGAATGCTTGGGCCAATGTTTCAAAGGGATTGTGTGTTACGTATGGAGAATGTGACATAGGTGAATCACTGTAAGATTGCTGTTCCCAACACCGAGCCCGTACGCAATGAACTGAATGGCCTCCCGCTCTGCTGTAAACCATTAGTTCTGTGGTCTTAAAGGAGGCGAAAGAGATTAAAGGATAGAAATTCGGAGCTTTGAATCCAGGCAGCTAAAGGCGCAATTGCCAGTAAAGGAATGATTAAAATTGGGGAATGTGTAAGAGACAAGAATTGAAGAAGTACTGATCTTGGAGGGTTGAGCAGGAATTACGGAGGAGTGGAGAGGTGAGGGAGCTGAACACAAGGATGGATATTTTAAAACTGAGACTTTGTTGAAAGGCTCATGTTCCACTGCAGGGCTTCAGCACAGAAATCATGATGCTGTGCCACTGTGCTGAGGGAATACTGTACTGCCAGAAGTGCTGTCTTTGGAATGAGATGTTAAACCCTCAGCACTATCATTCTGTCTGCTCACATCAATGTGAAAGATTTTGTGGATGTGATTCAGAGGAGTCTGAGGGCCGTTATGTATCTCTGCATCAATGCAGACACCTGGGTAACACCCTCTTGCTTTCAAGTAATAAGACCATAAGATGGAGGAGCAGAAGTAAACATCACAGCTCATCAAGTCCATCCTGCCGTTCAGTGTGATCACGGCTGATCTGATCATCCTCAATTTCATTTCCTGCCTTTTCCCATAACCCTTCATACCCTTCCCTATTAAATACTGTCCATCTCAGCCTCGTAATCCCTTATTCTGAGTATATGGTCTAGATTCCTGAACTCTCTGACATGGGGACACAACCTCTCTGCATTTAACCTGTCAAGCCTCAAAGAACCTTATATGTTTCAATAAAGTCACTTTTCATTCTTCTAAACTCCAGTAAATACTGGCCTAAACTACTCAGAGATAATAGGAACTGCAGATACTGGAGAATCTGAGATAACGAAGTGTGGAGCTGGATGAATACAGCAGGCCAGGCAGCATCAGAGGAGCAGGAAAGCTGACGTTTCAGGTCTAGAGCCTAAACAACTCAACCTCTTCTCATAAGACAGTTCTTGTACGCCTGGGATCAACCTAGTGAACCTTTTCTGCACTGACTCTAATGTCTCTATCTTGCCTTGGAGAAGGGACTTAAACTGTTCACCTTATTTCAGCTGAGTTCTGAGTAAAACTCTCCATTGTTTTAGCAAGACCATCCTACTTTTATGCTCCATTCCCTTTGAAATAGAGGTCAACATTCTTCTGTGCTCCTGCTGAACCTGTAGGCTAGCTTTTTGTGATTTATGTACGAGGCTTCCCCTTTTGTACTGTAGCTTTCTGCAGTCTTTCTCCAGTTAAATAATATTCAGCACCTCTATTGTCCTGCTGAAGTGTATGACCTCACATTTTTCCACGTTATATTTAATCTGCCAAGATTTTGCTCACTCATTTCACCTGTCTATATCCCTTCGTAGATTCTTTGAGTCATCCTCACCATCTGCCTTCTTATCTATTTTTGTGTCATCCATAGACTTGGTAATAGTACATTCACTTTCCTCACCCAAGTCATTGAAATATATTGTAAATAATTGTGGCCTCAGCACTGAACCCTGAGGTACCCCTCGGTACAGGGAGCCATTTTCTGTCCTCATTCTCTAAGGGGCCTATGTTAACTTTGGCTTCTGTTTTCCTATTAGAATATTTAAGGCACTTGCTGTCCATCTTGATATTACTTGAAAGTTTATCCTCAAAGTTTATCTTATTTATTTTTAGTCACCTTTTGTTGCTTTTTAAAACTTTCCCAATCATCTGGTTTACCACTAATCTTTGCCACATTTGTATATTTTTTCTTTCAATTTGAAACTGTCCTTAACTTACCAGGTTAGTCATGATTGGCTTATCCTCTTCCTAGAATCCTCCTTCCTCACTGGAATATGTCTTTGCTGTGAGGCATGAACTATTTTCATAAATGTCTGCTATTGATCCTCGACTGTCCTCACTGCTAAACCCATTCCTTGACCACTTCAGTCAGGTCTGCCCTCATTCTTTTGAACTTAGTGTTTAAACTTAACACAGTTGTTTCTGTTCCAAGCTCCTGTACCTCAAACTGAATACTAAATTCTGCCATGTTATGGGCACTGTTTCCTAGAAGAACTTTTTACTCTGAGATAATTTGTTAGACCTGCCTCATTACATATCACCAGATCCAGAATAGCCTGATCCTGGTTGGATCTACAACGTATTAGAAACATAGAAAATAGAAACAGGAGTAGGCCATCACAATGATCATGGCTGATCATCCAACACAGTACCCTGTCTCCACGTTTTTCCCCTACCTTTTGATCCCTTTAGCCCTAAGAACTATATCTGATTCCCTCTTGAAAACATATCTTGGCCTCAAATGCTTTCTGTGGGAGAGAATTCCATGGGCTCGCCACTCTCTTGATGAAAAAATTTCTCCTCATTTCAGTCATAAATAGCCCATATCCTTAGACTATGACTCTAGTTCTGAACTTCCCTGCCGTCAGGAACATCTTTCTTGCATTTACCCTGTCTAGACCTGTTAGAATTTCATAGATCTCAAAGAGATTCACCACCCCCCGCCTCCCTTTCCCCATTCTTCTAAACTTTGGTGAATACACTCCTAGCTGATCCAGTCTTTCTTTGCACGTCAGTCATATTGTAATGTCGTGTTTGTCACTATTATTCTCAGAAGATGTCCTGACTACGCTTTATGAATTCTTTCTCAGGCTACCTCTGCCAATCTGTCCATCCAAATCTGCATGATGATTCAAGTCACCCATGATTAATATATATGGCCTCATAATCTCCTGATTTATTCTCAGTCCCACAATATAGTTCCTGTTGGGGAACCAATGGACTATTCCTATCAGTGTTGTCTTCTCCTTTTTTTCATTCCATTCATCTGGATTCTACTCCATCCCATACTAACAAAGCTATCCCACCACCCTTTCCTTCCTGCCTATCCTTTTGAAAAATCACATACCCCTGAATATTTATTTCTCAGCTGTAATCTCTTTGTAAGCATGCCTCTGCAGTGGCTATTAGATTGTACCCATTAATCCGTATTTGTGCCGCTAATTCAATTATTTTGTCCCGAATCCTGTGCATATTCAAGAGCCATTAACTTCACCTTTACCGTTTTTCCCCGCATTGCATTCTATTTAGTGCCATTTTCTGTTTCTCTGTTCCTTCCATCCCATGTTGGATATCTTGATCTAAATAGCTGCCTTGTAATGCTGGCGTATCCTCTTCCTTTGTAAGCATTCAATTCCCCTCTCCCAATCCTTACCCCCCAACCCCCACCATTAGTTCAAAGCCCTCTGTAACTCTGGTTATTTGATTTGCCAGGACACTGTGTCTAGCTTGGCTCAAGTGAAGTCTGTTCTGCCAGAATGACTCCCTTAAGTGCTGAAAGCCATTCTATCTATGCCAGTATTTGAGCCATGCATTTAACTTCTTGACTTTATATATCCTCTGTCACTCTGCCCATGGCTCAAGTAATCCTGAGATTATCGAAGATTCTACTTTTGAATTTTGCTTCAAAATGTTCAAAATATTTCAGCAGAGCCTCATTCCTGGTCATGTCAATGTAGTTGGTGCCAATGCGGATGACACCAGCTGAACGCCTGCTCTCCCACTTCAAGTTTCTGTCTAGCCCCGAGAGGATATCCTTAACCCTGGCACTGGATGGGCATCACAGCCTTCTCCCTGCTGCAGAGGACAGTATCCCTCTTCCTGATTTGTACAGTCCTCTACCACAACTTATTCCTATTTCCTCCCACCACTTGATTGGCTCCCTGTGCCATCAATGGTCCTGCAACTTCAAGCCTGCCCCATCTGCATGTCGCACCCTCCTATCCATGATTACAAACCAATCTTGAATTACCAGGTCTGAAGACTGGGACCGCCCTCTGGTACAAAGTGTCTAGGTCGCTTTCCCTTTCCCGAATGTGGCGCAGTGCCTTCAGCTCAGACCGCAGCTTCTCTACTTGGATCCAAAATTCCTCGAGCTGCAAATACTTTGTGCAGATGTATTCTTCCTAGATCATGTTGGTGTCCAGCAGCTTCCACATGTCACAGCCACAACGCATCTCCCATCTTGCCATCACTCTCTTATCTGATTGTGTTATTAATTTGCAAATTAGTAACACTAAATTCTCTATTTTTGCACTGTACTGTAATGATGTTTTGTTTATATGAAATTCAATTTTTATGAAATGAAATTAAAAAGAAGTCACCAGTACCAATTTTGTACTTAAGCCACAATTATTAACAGAAGAGAAAAGAGACCTTTTCATAAATTAAGACCTTAGTTTTATGATGAGAAATGTTCACCAATCCTATTCAGCAATCAGCTTATTTCCTTGCACTCAAGTCACACTGTGGTTTGTGACATCACTCTGCTAATGGTGTGACTGCAGGTCAGCCTCGTCATCTACATCTTTTATCCTCTCCCACTCAGCCCCCACTCTACAGAGTTTATTTCTTGCAGTAGTTATGGAGTTATACAGCATAGAAGCAGATCCTTTGCTCCAACTTGTCCATGCCAATCAGACGTCCTAAACTGATTTAGTCCCATTTGCCAGCATTTGACCCATATCCCTCTAAACCCTTCCTGTTCATGTACCCATCCAGATGTCTTTTAAGTGTTGTAACTGTACCAGCCTCCTCCACTTCCTCTGGTTAAATCGCCTCTGTTTCCTTTTTGCATTGAAATTCTACTTTGAATTGGGTTTCCAACGCTATACTCACCCAGTCTTCATCCCACTCCATTGAATTCTCATGCACACTGAGTGCGCTTTGCTGTCAGACAGACAGTGGCTGTTTCTCTGGTTATGGAGCGGAGCTGAAATGAAGAGAAGTCTTAAACTTTTCCTCAAGTTATTTTAAGAAATCTTTAAGACTAAAACAAAAACCAAGTACTGCTAGTGTTAGAATTCTGAAATAAAAACATAAAATTCTGGAAATATCAGGCATGATTTGTAGGTAGAGAAACAGTGTTAATGTTTCAGGTCAATGGTCTTTCAGCAGAACGAGTACTGTTTCTCTCTCCACAGCTCCTTAATATTAGGAGCATTATTTCACCTTAAATCTTTAATGGGCAGAATTTATAAACTTGATTTAATTCTGTCACAGAACATTTGAATAAGTGAAAACTAAAACTGAAACTGAAATTGCTGGAGAAACTCAGTAGGTCTGGCAGTATCGGTTGAGGGAAAGTAAGTTAACATTTGGGGTCCTGTGATCCTTCTTCAGAACGACCTATGAATAATCTATGCTGTTCGTTTACAGGGCACCCTCTACTTCCAGATTTCTTTTTAGACGAGGAACCAGAGGCACTTGCCAAGAAGATGCAGGATCACGGTGAGTGTTTCCCCAGTTTTCATCACATAGCATCAGTAGAGATGGAATTCACATTAATATCTCATGGAATTGAAGTCACTTGTTCCAGTTTAAGTATGATTCAAATCAAAGTCAAAAATTCTAACTTTGAAAAATGATCTGTCAGTCAGGAGCTAAATGCCTGATTACAGGTGTTCCTTGCAGTTGAAGTTAATGCATGGTACTTTCTTTTTCATTTTGAATCTTTTTGTTAATACCCTGAGCAATATTCCAACCATCAGATTGGGTTAAATAATTGAAGGCATTGCAACTGTCAACTACGAAGGTTTTGTATCTCCTCATATCTGCTATGATTGCTGTGTGTAGTTTCACAGCCAACAGTTTTAGGGCTTCTTCTATTCTCCCAACCAAGGAGTGGTTCACCCCAATGCGCCCAGACTTTTAGGTTAGAGTTAATACAGGCTCAAAGTGTAACTTGACAGTGAATTTGGTGGAAGCTAACATGTAATCCTGAAGCCTAAGAAAGGACTTCCTCACACTCTTCTCAGAGCCATTAGAACTTATTTCCTCCTCCCAAGGCTGGCCATTTCTGTCACTCTGCTCATATTTAGCATGAGTCATCAAACTGATGATTCATGGCCACTCAACTATGTTCTTGAGATGTTCAGAAATTGGGTAATATAGCTAATCTATCACATGTCTCAAGATGCATTACTCATTTTATTGATCCAAACTTATTTTGCATTGCTGGTGATGGTTTTATTTTCTCAGTAGACCCCAGTGGTACAAATTGTGTGGTGATAGCCCCTCATTGAATCATATAGCACAAAGGAGACCATTGGGCCCATTGTGCCTGTGCGAGATTTTTTAAAAACCATTTATTCTTTCAAAGGATGTGCATGTCATTGACATGGCTAGCATTTATTGCCCATTCCTTATTGTCCTTGAGAGAGTGGAGGTGAGCTCTCCTCTTGAATTGCTGCACTGGAAACACCCAGAGTGCGGTTCGAAAGGAAGTTCCAGGATTTTGACTCAATGACAGTGAAGGAACAACAGTATAGTTCCAAATCAGGATGGTGTGTGGCTTGGATGAGAACCTATAGATAATGGTGTTGCCATGCGTCGGGGGTTCTTGTCTTTCCAATGATTAACATCAAGCATCTGGAAGGTGGTGCCGAAGGAGTCTTGGTGAATTGTTGCAGTCTACTTTAAAAATACAATCAGATTTTTGCCCCTCTCCTTTCCCCAAAGCTCTTGAAGCACATAGTCAATATCCTTTGCAAGTCCCTGTGGAATCTACTTCCAGCAGCCTTTCATGCTCTGCGTTTCAGATCATCATAATTTTCGTCAACTTGAGTTCTCTGCCTGAATGCAAGTTTAACCACAGCCCCAAAACCTCCACCTTGGGTACAGCAAGAAGGCAGGTCCCAAATGTACCCCATCCGGAGCACGGTTCAAACCCCATACAGTTGGCACCAATTTGATCTCAATCGCCCAGCCAATGGAGCCATTGCCCACATCTCCCACTATGATTCCATGCATGTTGTAGCCTGAAACTATGAATAGCGATGGTAGAGGTGTCAACTTCCTTTCCATCTCATGGCAGAATAGGAATCTCATCCGTGTTTAATGTCTGCCATTTGCATATGTTGAAGTGGTTTCCCAGTTGATCCATGACCTGTCTGGCCATGTAATGAGTGCACTTTCCTTGCCCATCAAGTTGTGGAGTGGGACCTGAATCCAGAGCTTCTGACACAGATTCAGAGATGCTACCCACTGTATCACAAGATTTACATACTCAGGATATGCTGTGTAAAAAGAAATTTTCCTTACCTGTTTCCTGGTACGTTTGCCAAATACCTTCAATGTATGTCCTCTGGTTGCCAACTCTTCTCAAACAAAATAATTTTTCCTGATCTGCTCTTTGATAACTTGGACCATCTTTGAATTTCTCCTTTATCTTTCTCTGTTCTAAGAAGAATGCTGTCACCTTCTCTAACATAACCACATAACTGCAGTCTGTCATCCCTGGTACCATTCTGCGTAAATTCCCTTTCGGGTCAAGGCTTTACCTTTTTTTCCTGTAGTTTGGTGCTTAATGTTGTAAACAATACATCAGCTGACCATTGTTTAGTAAAGGTTTAGTTTCATGTCACTTGCTCTTGTACCTTATGTCTCGATGAGCACAACCAAGAATCCTGCTTGCCTATTTTCTTTTTTATCAACCTGTCCCGCCACTTTGCCAGACTTTAATGTGTAAATGTACCAGTGGTGTGGCTCTGAATGTCTAGACTGTTATTATGTATTTCCTTTCAGGAGCTAGTCCCAAGTTTCAAGTGGAAAAGGAACAGGTTTCATTGGCAACTAAAGGGCCTGTTGCTGAGATGTTCAAGGCTATTGAGGGAACCATCACTGCTGACATGGTGAAATCGACTGGAGGCATCTATCAGTTTGAATTGACTGGTAAAGTTACTTCTGTAAAATTAATGATTTACACTGATTGTTGGAAGTAACTTTAGATCTTGGTTCCAATTATTTGCAGTTTAAAAATTCATACCAAACATTCTTCAACCCCCTTGAGTTTTGAATCAGGCTAAGCTTCTCCAAATGCCAACCTAATTATCGACTGGATCAATCCTGAATTTTTAACAAAGATTACGATTCTTTAATGAGATGTGTGAGTTGCTGGCTAGGGCAGCATTTATTGCCCATCCTTAATTGCCCAGTAGGAATCACATTTAGGTCAGACCAAGTTAAGCTTGCAGTTTCCTTACCTAAAAGATATTAGTGAACCAAATGGGATTTTCCTGACAATTGACGACTGTTTCATGGTCATTATTAGACTCTTATTTCCAGATTTCTGTTGAATTCACATCTTACCATCTGCCTATAAGAGATTTGAACGTGGGTCCCCAGAACGTTACTTGAGTCATTAGATTAGTGGTCCAGTGATAAAACGGTTAGGCCATCACCTCCCCAAGTGAGGAATATTCCATCACTGAGCTGACTTGTAGATGAAAAAGCCCCAGGCCTTTCACCCCTGGACCCTGCAATTTGTTTTTCCCAATGAGATATGTAGCTAATTTTTTGATTTAAAGTTATTATTGATTCTAATTCCAAGACCCTTTAAGGTGTTTGATTCCAAATCATCATAACTCACTGCGTTAATCTCAAATTTTTTATGACAATTACCCTGAAAGTGCCATCTCTGGAAATAGCTGAGGGCTTTGCAGAATTCAGTGCTATTATAGAGTTATAGAGTCATACAGCATGGAAACAGACCCTTCAGTCCAACTCGTCCATGCCAACCAAGTTTCCCAAACTAAAGTAGTCCCATTTGCATGCATTTGGTCCATACCCCTCTAAATCTTTTCAATTCATGTACCTGTCCAAATGTCTTTTAAATGTGTGACTCTACCGGCACATATCACTTCCTCTGACAGTTCATTCCACATATGAATTACCCTTTATGTGAAAAAGTTGCCACTCAGATCCCTTTTAAATCTTTCTCCTCTCACCTTAAGAAACGTCATCTCGTTTTGATCTCCCCTACCCTCGGGAAAAGACCTTTGCTTTTCACCTTAGCTTTGCCCCTCGTGATTTTATACACCCCTATAAGGTCATCACTCAACCTGCTACACTCCAGTGGAACAAGTCCCAGCCTTTCCAGTCTATTTTTATGTCTCAAACTCTCCAGACCCAGCAACATCCTTGTAAATCTTTTCTAAATCCCCTCCGATTTATAATATCCTTGCTATGGCAGGCCAACCAGAACTGTACACAGTGCTCCAAAAGTGTCTTCAACAAATTACCTAGCATTTATCCAAATTAAACTTCATCTGCCACTCTTCACCCCATTGACTCAATTGATCAAGATCCCTTTGTAATCTTAGATAACTTTCTTCACTGTCCACTATACCACCTGTTTTGGTGTCACCCACAAACTTACTAACCATGCTTCCTAAATTCTCATCCAAATCATTTATATAAATGACCAACAACAGTAGACGCAGCATCCAGCCCTGCGGAAGAGTACTGGTCACAGGCCTTCAGTCCAAAAAATATCCACCTCTCTCCTACCATCAAGCCAAGTTTGTATCCAATTGGCAAGCTCTCCTTGAATCCCATATGATCTAACGAGTCTATCATGTGGAACCTTGTCAAAGGCTTTACTAAAGGCCACATAGATAATGTCTACCACTCTGCCTTCATACATATTTTTGGTTACATCCTCAAAAGACTCAATCAAGTTTGTGGAGACATGATTTTCCACGCATGAAGCTAGAAAGTTGAGAAATGTAATGGCCTCACTTCAAAGTCCCTTGTAAGGTTATAGGTTGTTGCTCTTCATCCTCATGACTGAACCATCATCAAATACACTGTTGTCCCACTGTAGCATGATCTATTAGGGAACGAAAATTTGTATAACACAGGTTCTTCTCGGACCCCAGAATTTTCAATCAGCAAATGCACCTACAAGCCTCCCTCCGCTATAATTCCAGCCACCCACTTTGACTCTCAGTAACGAGACACCACAGGGTTGTAAAGAAATTTCCTCGAATCGCTGAAACGTTTTTCTTCTGCGTTAACTTAGATGGATAGCTTTGACTGAATGTGTGCAGTTTCATGCTGAACTGCTCTCGTTTGCCTTTTGAATTACATCTCCATGATTTGATTAAACAGGTGAGCACCCAGGAACCTGGTACATTGATCTGAAGAATGGAAGTGGCAGCATTGGACATGGAAGTTTCCCAGGGAAGGCCGATGTGCTGATGAGCATGAGTAGTGAGGACTTTGTGAAAATGTTTGCAGGTGAGCTTTAATAGGAACATGGTGGGCCGTTCAGCCCCTTGAGCCTGTTCCTCCTCTCAGTGAAACCGTGGCCGAGCTACATTTCAACTGCCCTCTTTAGTTGCCTTGGATACCCTTGTCTGATAACAACAGCGACAACTTGCATTTATCTAGCTCTTTAATACAGTAGAAGATACAAGGTGCTGTGCAGGAACATTGGCAAAAAAAATTTGTCACCAAATCACATAATGAAGTTTTGGGCTGATGACTTTTATGATGTAGCACAAAAGGAGGGCCACTTAGCTCATTGTGATCTCATTAGTGTTTTTTGGAGCTATCTTATTGATCCCA